TATGATACCACTCCTATAAATCACTTGTATTATCCTTGATATCTGAGATTCAGTCTGTCAATAAATATCTGATTACCCAAAATGTACCAAGAAGACCGTACGTGGGGGCTAGAGAATCAGAGTAAACACCACCATCCCTGAAGTGTTCTAAAAGACCAAAACAAACAAAAAAGAATGAGTAAACAAATACTTTTAAGAGCTAAGAAGGAAAAACACAATGCTGTCAGAAAGAATTAACAGTGGGAGCCCACTTTAGATAAGGCAGTGAGGAAATTCCTCTACATGAAGTTACATTTCAGCTGATACCAACTATTCAAACAGGGAAAAGAGCATCCTGGGTTCCATTAGAAGGTTTAACTAAAAACAAAGTTTGGAGCAAGAATAGTCTATAAAAAATTCCACCTGTAGCACAAAATGAAAAGCAAGGGATACGATGTCAGACTAAAATCCACCATTCAGGGGCGCCTGGGTGGCTCAGTCGGTTAAGCGGCTGCCTTCGGTTCAGGTCATGATCCTGGGGTCCTGGGATCGAGCCCCACGTCCGGCTCCCTGCTCAGCGGAGAGCCTGCTTCTCCCTCTCCCTCTGCCTACTTGTGCTCTCTATCTCTGTCAAATAAATAAATAAAATCTTTAAAAATAAATAAATAAAATCCACCATTTATTAGTTGTGCAATTACAAATTACTTAACATCTCTCAGCCGGTTTTCTCCTCTGAAAAACGGAACAGTGCTATGAAAATCCACCATGCTTATGATTGTGAAGTATGACAGATAATACAATGTTCAACACCTTGTCCATTCCCTCAGAACTGTTTTTAAATTATTCCAAATGCTACCTGGAGGACATAAGTATTTCCCAATGCCTGCAGTGGAAAAAATACTAATCACATGCCTTGCCTATTGCTTTATTTCCTTCCTTCCTTCATTAAATAACTACTAGCTTACTTTGTGGCCAGGAATTACGAGACTACAGGTGCTAAGAGAGTATAATACTAAGCAAAGTAAGTCAGAGAAAGACAAATACCATATGATTTCACTCATATGTGGAATTTAAGAAACAAAACAAAGGGGAAAAAAGAGACAAACCAAAAAGCAGACTCTCTAACTACAGAGAACAAACAGATGGTTGGGGCGGGGGGTGTGAATGGGTGAAATAGGTTAAAGGGACTAAGAGCACACTTATTTTGATGAACACTGAGTAAGATACACAATTGTTGAATACTATACGGTACACATGAAACTAATATAACACTGTATGTTAACTATACTGGACTTAAAGTAAATTTAATTAAAAAAAGAACACAGGTGCTAGGATTATAGTGTTGAACAAGACAAAGCCCTTGCCCTCATGGAACTTACATTCTACTGCAGAGAAAGACATACAAATTAAAACAGTAAATGCTATGACAAAGAATAAATTGGGAGAGGAGAGTATCAGTGACGCTGCGGAGGGGATGACTATATGAAGATAAAACTACTTCTCTGAGAAGATAACATTTAGCAAAAGGTGAATAAAATGGAACAAGGCCTGTGATGTGGAGAACAAGCATTCTCTAAGCAAAGGGAACAAGACCAAAAAGTCTCTGAAGGAACAAACTGGCAGTGCTGTAAAACAGATGTAACATGAATTACAGTTTTAGCATGAATGGTTAACAGTCCAAAACAAACTGAAAATGCTTTACAAATCACCAAACTAAGCTGTGGGGCCAAAAACAAGATGTTTTATATTGTTTGTATCCAGTCCCCCAAACCCTAAAATATTTTAATGATCCCAACCAATAATATACCAAATGGAAACACTTTACTACTAACAGAGATAAAAGGAATCAATACAATAATCAACTAAGGAACTTTTACACTAAATCCAGTGTAAAGACTAAGGATGAACATCAAGAACTTTGTCATGGGCAAATTGAAAGGAAAGGCATGTTAATATGGCAAGAGGTTTAATGACTATTATAATTACTTAAAGTATTTTTAAGTAAATGGAGAAATACACCACATTCATGGAATGGAAAAGTCAGTATTGTGAAGATGTCAATATTCCCCAGAATGACCTATACACTCAAGGCAATTTCAATCAAAAGCCCAGCAGAATTTTTTTAAATTGACAAGTTGATTTTAAAATCAGTAAAAATAGCGGTGCCTAGGTGGCTCAGTCATTAAGCGTCTGCCTTCGGCTCAGGTCATGATCCCAGGGTGCTGGGGTCGAGCCCCGCATCGGGCTCCCTGCTCGGCGGGAAGCCTGCTTCTCCCTCTCCCACTCCCCCTGCTTGTGTTCCCTCTCTCGCTGTGTCTCTCTCTGTCAAATAAATAAAATCTTAAAAAAAATTTTTTTTTAATAAAATAAAATCAGTAAAAATAATCTGAAACTAATGTAACATTGTACATTAACTATACTCAAATTGGGAAATAAATAGGTAGATAGATAAAATAAGTAAGGATATACAAAACAAGAATACCCAGAACAATTTTGAAAAAAGAAAAAAGTTAGGTGATACTACCTAATTTCAAACCTTAGCATAAAGTAATTAAGAAAGTACAGTACTGGTGTGGGGCACACCTGGCTGGCTCAGTCAGTAGAGCATACAACTCTTGATCTCAGAGTTGTAAATTTAAGCCCAATGCTGGGTGCAGAGATTACTTAAAAATAAAATCTTTAAGGGGCGCCTGGGTGGCTCAGTCGGTTAAGCATCTGCCTTCAGCTCAGGGGCTTCCTGCTCAGCAGGAGCCTGCTTCTCCCTCTCCATTCTGCCGCTCCCGACCCCCCCCTCCCCCACCGTTCTACTCTCACATGCTCACTCTCTCTAATAATATCTAAAATAAAATAAAATAAAATCTTTAAAAAAAAAAGTATTGGTGTAATAGACACGCAGATCAATGAAACAAAATATAGTGCAGATTTTTTTTGCCAAGATTTTTGATAAAGATAAAAGATAAAAAAGGAGATATCATAATCTTTTCAATGACTGCTGCTGGAACAAATGGATATATGTATGAAAAAAAACGAACTGTTATCTCACATCATGTTCAAAATGGACCACAGGTATAAATAAAAACGCTATAAAATGTCTCAAGAAAGCACAAGAAAAACTTTGCTACCTTGGGAAAGGCAAAAATTTCATAAAAGGATCCAAAAAGCACAAATCATAAAAGAAAAAAAATCATAAATTATATTTCACTTCTGCTTTCTGAAGAACACTATTAAGAACATCAAAAAGCAAGCCACAGACTGGGAGAAATCAGCATAAAACAGACCTGTATCCAGATTTTTTTTTTTTAAAGATTTTATTTATTTATTTGACAGAGAAAGACACAGCGAGAGAGGGAACACAAGCAGGGGGAGTGGGAGAGGGAGCAGGCCTCCCGCCGAGCAGGAGCCCAATGTGGGGCTCGATCCCAGGACCCTGGGACCATGACCTGAGCTGGAGGCAGATGCTTAACGACTGAGCCACCCAGGCGCCCCTGTAGCCAGATGTTTTAATTCAGTAAGGCAAACCTCCCAATTAAAAAATAGGCAAAAAATTCCGACACTTCATAAAAGATATAAAAAGAGCCAAAAAGCACATGAAAAGATGCTAATCATTAGTAGTTAGGAAAATAAAATTTAAACTCACCATGAGACGCTCCTATCACTAGAATATCCAAAAGACTAAAAATACCAAGTGTTGGTGAAAGTATGGAGCAACTAAACTAGAACTCTCCCACTCATCATTGCTGGTAGGAATGTGAAATGATACAATCATTTTGGAAAACAACTTGGCAGTTTCTTATAAAGTTGAAAATTCAGCCGTTTACCCCTAAATATTACCCAAGCCACATGAAAACATAATGTTCACAAGAAGCCTTTACACAAATGTTCATGGTAGTTTGATTCAAAATGGTCAACAGTTGGAAACAACTTGAACATTCACCCACCCTTAGATCACTGGGCAAACTGTGATTATGTCCATATGACGGAACAGAACTCAGCCATAAAAAGGAACAAAATACTGATCCAATGGTATAAGTGAAATCTCATAAATTATTATGCTAAGCCAAAGAAATCAAACACAGGTGGCTCCTGGGTGGCTCGGTCAGTTAACTGTCTGCCTTCAGCTCAGATCGTGATCCCAGAGTCCTGGGATCGAGCCCGGAGTCAGGCTCCCTGCTCAGCTGGGAGTCTGCCTGTCCTTCTCCCTCTGCCCTGCCCATGCTCTCTGCCTAATAAATAAAATCTTAAAAAAAAAAAAAAAAATCAAACACAAAAGAGTACATACTATTTCATTTACATGAAATAACTAGAAAAGACAAAACTAATTTACAGGAGTGCAGAAAGATCAATAGCTGTGTGTAGGACAGGATTAAGGGGTGGAAAATAACTGCAAAAGAACACAAAGGAACTTGTTTGGATGATGAAAAAGTTCTCTATTTGATTGTGATTGTAAGTTACATAAGTACATTCACTTGTTAAAACTCACTGAGTTCTACATTTAAAATTGGGTGCATTTTAATTCATGAAAATTATGCATTTATCAATCTCATGAAGAGGCTGGGCATTTCTTTTAGCTGTATCTCTGCTGAAAGCATAGCAACAAAGCTTGATTCCCTTGAATTTCCAGAAATTCTGTAAACAACCTAACAATACATAATAAATCCAGTTCTGCTAAAACTAAAAAAAAAAAAAAAAGCATTTAAAAAGTTGATTAAAATGTCATTCAACCATTATTTAAATATAAAATTTTCCTCTGCATATAACAGACATTCAGTCAGCTGAATGAAAATCATAAAAGAATACATTTCTAAGATTCAAGTATGAATCAATACACTGAAGTCTGAAGTATGACTCCTGACTCCTGGAGATACACAAAAATTTCTTATTTATATTCAGTGAATATTTATTCAACACCTACTTACCATATGCCAAGACAGTATGAACTGTACAAGGAAAAACAGAAGTTCAGAACAGAGAGAAGCCCATTTGCAACTGCACAGAAGGATGATGAGATGTTTAAAACTTACGTTGTTAGCAAGAACGCCCCATCACCACATCTTTCCAGAGCCTTTCGTGCAGGAGGTTTTGCTGCAAATTCTACAAAACCTTTTCCTGTCGCTCTACCACGATCATCCACAACCACAACGGCTTTCTCTACAGGACCAAACTGGGAAAATGCTTGCTCTAGCAGCTCATTGGAAACAACCGGCGAAAGGTTCTTGACAGTTAGGGCTGCTCCATGTGTAGCAAAACGAATTCGGAGAGGTCTGCTCTTCAAAATGGTGCCATCCAGCTCTGCTTTTGCAATTTCAGCCAGTGTTCTGGATTCCTTTTTAGGAGGAAAAATCACTTTTTAAAGATGATAGTAACACAAATAATTTTAAATAGTGGTTTCTAGGGAGAAGAGCTGGGTAGCTTTTGGAAAATGACTGTTAGAGTCACTCTGTTTTTGTGTCATTCAATTTTGGTATTACATGCATTGTATTAATTATTCAAAAATAAGTATGTTTAAATACCCCAATGTCCCAAGTCATCACTAAAAGATTATCTATTCAGAAATTACCAGCTATTAAATATTCGAAGCAAGATCTTTTTTTAAAATCTCCTCCATATATTAAAAGAAAATCATACTTTTTGAGACCAAGCACCAGTTACTGGAAGCTATTATTGAAAACAGAATAATTTCTCATATATTCCATGTTTTTGATATTCATATCTTAATAAAACATCCCACCTCATCCCACCTCTCCAATGCCAGAAAAAACCCCTTCTCTTTTTCTTTTTTATATCATCTATGAAAACTACTATCAGATGTTGTTAACCACTTCTGAAATACTTTCATGGGCTACACATTTCTCCATTATATTGAGAAGCAAACATGTACAATCATGGGCTGTAAGAGTTCTCTCCGTTATAGAGAGAATCAAGTGCACACGCATTTATAAACTAGAAAATACATTCATTGCTGAAACCACTAGGTAACTTCCTACTTGAAGAATTCAAGAATATAGACATCTAAACATTATCAACAAACTGATAAGTTTAATATAGACATGTTCTTTTTCTTTGTGTTGTGAGAACTCTCCAGAGAGAACTGAAAGAAGTTTTATATGGATTTGTAAGAGAACAAATATACTGTCTTATGAAAAAAGTCTTAAGGTCACAATAGATCCTTATATAATCCCTAAAATATTCATGACATTTAAATTACTGCACTAATGCAAAAATCTATCTACAGAACTAATGTTACAAAGACAAATGAATCTAACCTTTTTACAGATTTTCAAAATAGCTATCTTTAAAAATTACTCTTGGGGTGCCTAACCGGCTAAGTCAGTAAAACATGTGACTTGATCTCAGGGTTGTAAATTCAAGCCCCAGCTTGGGTACAGAGAGGACTTAAAAATAAAATCTCAAAAATAAATAAGTAAATAAAAATTACTCTTAAATTTTTTTTAAATTATTCTTAAAAGTATCTGCAAGCATTCAATAAATATCTAACAAGGGACAGGTACTTTGTACCTAGTATGTCATATAATCCAACAACTCTGAGAGGTAGATTTTAAAATGCTGTTGGGTATAACTGGGAATGGGAAGAGGAATGAGGAAATTTCATGGGGGTGATGATAGTGTTCTGTATCTTGATAGGAATCTGAATTAAACAAATGTTATTCGTCTAAAATCACCAAACTGTACACTTATAATTTGTGCATTTTGCTGTATGCAGATTTCAAATACCTCAAAAAATAATACTGGACTCTAGTTAATGACAAGCATGCCAGAGTGTTCAAAAAGTCAAGAACTGATGGGCAGAGACAGAGATGAATAGATAAGTGAAAAAAACATATGTAACAAAACTTAGACAATCTAGATAGATGTTCATTGCTATATATCTGAAATTTTTTCAGAGTAAATGTTTAAGGGTAGGAGGATAAAGAAAACCGGTGAGGACTTTCTAAAACTGAAGAGTGGTGGGGCGCCTGGCTGGCTCAGTTGGTAAAGCGTGTCACTCTGGATCTCGGGGTTGTGAATTCAACCCCCACACTGGGAGTAGAGATTACTTAAAAATAAAATCTTAAGAAAATAATAAATAAATGAAATAAAACTGAAGAGTGCTTCCAGAGGGCATCTCCTGTTCAGATTCAGTCACGTATATTCACAACATCACATATTTTTCCCCCAAGGGAAGTAGGAAATACCAATTTTTATGTTAAATCAAGTAATTTTTTTTACAGTTGGCAATGAATTCAATATTTAGTATTTTGGGGCCAAATAAAATGTTTATGCTGTCAGGAATTTTCAATACCATAATCCTTCTTCAAAGCTTGTACTTTTCATGGTTTTAAATAATTCTACATCAGGGTTTCTCAACTTTAGCACTCTTGACATTATGGGCAAGATAATTCCTATTGTGGGGGGCTGTCCTGTGCATTATAGGAGATTTAAGCCAGTAGAACCACCCCCACTTTTGACAACGAAAAATGTCTCGAGACATTGTCAAATGTCCCCTGGGAAGCAAAACCACCCCATTTAAGAACCACTGCTGTAAATGTGTACTACAGTTATCTGTAAAATCAATTAAAATTATGTGTTTGAAATGATTCTTTACTTCATGCCGCAGAATAACGATAACAAGGTAACTTTTACTAAGTAGGTACTATATGCTAGCCATTATTTTATATAAATATACATGTATATATATATAAATACACACATTATCCTCATCAACAATCTTACAAAGTGGGTTGTTACTATCCCCACTTCACATATGGGGAAATAAGCCTAGACAGGTTGAAGTAACTCGCCCCCAGATCTATACAGAATTCATAATCTCTACCAATACATCGTAAGTCCCTCCTTCCAGCTAGTGTCCCTGCATCACTCTGCATAAAAAGTAAAACTATAGGCTTTTAACTTAAAGGAATACAAAAAATAACAAGAAACTAAGTGACTACCCCAAGATAGAGACCACTTGAATTAGGATCTCATGATGTCCACTGGACCCTTTCGAAAGGCTCTTTCAAAGCACCTGATCTTTTCTCACTGTTCGCTAGTGGTTAAAACTGACCACTGCAAGAGTACTAAATTAATTAAGTCCAAGGAAATCCACTGATGCAAAATGGAAATAGCCTTCAAGTCAATCAACAGAGAGTTGACTGGGTAACTAGCAGTCCATTCACACTGTGAAATACAATATGGTCATTAAAAATCAATCTAGTGATATGAAAAGATGTCAAAGAGATATTAAATGAAAACCTCAAATCACAAAATGTGTACAGTATGGTTTGCTATGGAAAAATCACACCAAGTTTAACAGTGATTACATTTAATGTGTTAGGGGGCAATCTTTCACTAGAATTAAAATTGTAATACGAAAATTACCTGAACTAAAAAAGCACTTTAAATTATATGCTGGACAGGCCCACTAAGGAGATTCTACAACATCTTTTTCAGTATTTGACATTCCATTAAGAAGAACACAGCATTGGGGCACCTGGGTGGCTCAGTCGTTAAGCGTCTGCCTTCGGCTCAGGCCATGATCCCAGGGTGCTGGGGTCGAGCCCCGCATCGGGCTCCCTGCTCGGCGGGAAGCCTGCTTCTCCCTCTCCCACTCCCCCTGCTTGTGTTCCCTCTCTCGCTGTGTCTCTCTCTGGCAAATAGATAGATAAAATCTTTAAAAAAAAAAAAAAGCACACAGCATTTCATTATTAAAAACAAAAAACACAAGGGGAGAGGGTTTAGTCCCCAAAGGCTAAATTAATGTAAATTCGGTTGATTTGTAACTCTTTAATTACAAGAGTGGTTCTCAAACCTTAGCAAGCATAAAAATAACATGGAGGGCTAATTAAAACCCAAGACTATTGAGCCCCAACCCCACAATTTCTGATTCAGTACATCTAATCTAGGGTGGGGTCTTAGAATTTGCATTTCTAACAAATTCTCAGTTAACAATTTTTGAGATGGTCTAGGGTCAGTCAGCATTGCTAGCATGAGTGGTAGGGAAAATAATATAAGTGGCCATCTGCGTACACTAGAGAGAAATGTGAATCTGCTGGAAAGGAACCACAGTTTTGTGAATCACCGCTTCAGAAGTCTAGTTTACTAAAGCTAAAAAAGTAGGGGAGGAGGGAGATAAAAGCAGAAACAGAGTTCAGGTCAAACTTATACCAGTTTTAACTATATTAAACTAGCTTTAAAATGCACCACTGGGACTTCTGGCTGCTCAGTCTGAGAAGCATGTGGCTCTTAATCTCAGGGTCGTCAGTTCGAGCCCCTGACTGGGTATAGAGATTACTTAAACTTTTTTAAAAATGCACTACAAGTTCTCAGTTAATTTAGCCAATCTAATGTCAGTAACCACTCAAAACCTAAAAAAGAAGCTTTTTGGTCTAAAATTCCACAAAATGTACCTAAATTAAACACAGTCTATTTCAACCCTAATGTACCGTGGATTTACAATATGGATTAGGACCTTATAAGGAAACGCCGCTTCAATTCTTTTTCCTCACCATTACATACTAGCAATGCTGACCCTACACCATCTCCAAAATGTCTCACCTCATCAATTAACTGGAAAACTACAACCACCACTGTAAAAAATTTATTTAATTTTAAAGATTAACTGAACAAAGTATTTCTAAAAATAGAAATCAAATAAAATTACACCACTATTATAGGGCCACTACACCACCACTGCATACTATAGCCACTACACCATTACTGACATTCAAAATCAGGTATACACTATATGATTTTCCTAGGTAGAAAAAGTATGTAAGAGCTCAGAAATATTTAAGGCTTTTAAATGTACCTGTTAATCATAGAGCTCAGATTAAACAGTAAAGTTATCCATAAAGCCAAATCTTGTAAGCTAAATTCTAATTTCCCACTGACATATTTTTAACATTCCTACACAAAAAATACAGCATGATAGGTTTGGAGGAGCATATCCCAAAGGAGCAGACAAGGGCCTTCTCATCTCCCCATTTCATAATCCCATAGACTTTTTTTTAAAAGAAACTAAAAGCAAATATCCACTAGCCACGTATGGCTATTTAAATTTAAGAATAAGTAAAATTTAAAGTTTAAATCCTCCAGCACAATTGCTACATTTCAAGTGCTCAACAGTCACATATGGCTAGTAGCTACTACATTGGACAGCACATACACAGAGCATTTCCAACACTGCAGAAGTTCTATTGGACAAGGCTAATACGTTAAAGGAAAAAAAGGATTATCAGTAGCTTTAAAGAGAGAAGGAAAAAGATTTTTTCCATGTCAAAATGTTTACTATTGGCTTATTTTTTAAGTGTAAGGCTTCCCAAACAAAAGGAAATGCAGTCCTACCATTCTTCCTCCAGAATGTCAACTTTAGAACAGACCAACAGGGTGCCAGAGGCTAAAGAGTATGAAAATGTTAAATAACACCTTTGTAAAGTTTACTAAAAATTGCCTAAAACACCTCATTGTAGAAACCTAAGTTCCTTTAACATAACTTTTGGAATTGTATTAAAAATAATTTTACCAAATGACAGTCTGTTTCTCTAACGTCCAAAAGATATTTATAATTTTGTGTTCAAAACGCACTGATTACTTAACTTCAATTTTAAGGAAATTTCCAGATCTTAATACCCTATGAAGATTTACCCTTCTCTTGAAGCCATTTAGATTTTAAATGTTCAAATGTTCTCCCTAAAAAATACAATGTCATTAAATTACAATCAATTCTATCTACATATTAAAATTTTGCCTTGGCCAATCATGAAGAGAACCCGATTTTCAATGTTACAACTCCAATAAGAAAGCTTCCACAAACTGCCATGCACATAAAATTTGAGGGTCAAACTAGAAAGGCAACACAACACAAATAAGCCCTTGTGTAAAAAGTCTCCAAGAAAAATATTTTGTTGGAAAAAAAATCCAGCACCTAAATACGAATTACAGTAAAGCTGTATAACTGACACTGATGGAATTCACCACAAAGCACATAGGAAAACCGAATAAAGTAGATATTTTGGCCTGTAAGAGTAAACCCCCGCTGTTTAAATTAAAATAAAAAATGTAAGGGAGGCACAATTTTTGCATGTTATTGGAAAACTTTTAAGACTTAGACTAAAAAGTAAAATATATACTCTCCTAGCATTAAAATGTGCACGTAAAATATAAAACAGTATGTAATTCATACCCCCCCCCCCGCAAAAACGTGGAAACGTCCAGAATGTTTAGGAAGAGAGCATCCTACACTAGATACGTAACAATTCAACACCGTCCCAATATCGCAGAGTTTAAGAACTAGGCAGTTTAAAGGTGGGCTGCGCTGAGGTGGAGGAGAAACAAAATGGTTTACCGTTAAACATGCAAGTCTGGTTGCAATCAAGGAGATGATTTGGACAATTTTTAAGAAGCGAGTCCGCCGGTTGGTCCTCCTTGCCCAATGAAATTTCTGGTAAGACCGAAGCTTCCGTTCCAAATTCATATCTAATTCATTTCCCTTAACACAATTGTGCCTGCAAGAAGTCTCACCCCAAAACGTTCCTGACCCTTGTCGGAATCAGAGAACTTAACCCCATTGGGCCGGGTTAGCCGTAGCCTATGTAGCGCGGGGCAAGCGAAGCCGGACGCGCGCAGAGCAGAAAACGCTGGCGACAGCAACCACGGAGCGACGGGAAACCGAGCCGGCTAATCGGAAATACCGGGCTAAAACGCCGCTCTGGGTGAAAGGACAATCCAGCGCGGCGGGAAAGATAAGGGCGGGAGGCGCCGCGATTTTCACAGGCCACAGCAAAGGCCGCAGCTGGGACAAGGGCTTTCTCCAAGGCGGCTGAGGAACGTGGACCGCTGCCGGCGGCGCCCGGCTCCTCGCAGGGGCCTCCCTTCACGACCCCTTCCCCTCACACCCCGCCAGCCAGGTCCGACACTCACCAAACGGATGAAGCCAAAGCCACGGTCCCGATTGATGAAGACCTCGCTGGGCTCGCCGTAGCGCTCGAAGAGCCTCTTGAAGTCCTCCTCCGTGATGTCTGTGGGCAGGTTCCCCACGAAGAGGCGACAGCGTTGCGTGTACGTCTTTTCGCCCGGCTTGAGGAAGCTCTTGATGTCAATGGTGAATCCCATCTCTTCATCGGGGTGGTCCTCCGGGGGTACGGGGGCAGGTGGCGCCGGCTCCCCCGCCAGCGCGAGGGCCATGGCGGCCGCCGGCTCGCTCTCGCCTGCCGCGGACTCAAGAGCTCGAAGGCGGGCCGGGTTTTTCTCAATGCGTACTTGCTTCAGGTTTCCTCTTAACATCATCTTAGTGAGTTGACTTCAGATACTGGATATAATTCTAGAGCTATAGCGTATCTCTGTATACACCTAGAGAAACGGAATATAGAAGGAAAAAGTCAGAGAAGACAGCGAGGTCGCCTAGCGCGCTGCCCCGCCTAGTAGGACTCACGGCCCGGGTAGCTGCACGTTCAAAATGGCGCTGCCACCAGCCGCAGTTACAAGAAAAGACGCCAGCTGTAAGCCCCGCCCCTCCGCAAAGGCCGGCGCCGGAGCCACCGCGCCTGCGCATTATTGGCGCCAACGGCACGATAACTAGCATGCGCATGAGCACAATATTAAATGCGCTGTGGAGCCGAGTCACCTTCTAGGCTTCGCGAAATGCGGTTTCCCATCCTTCTAAATTAGCAGACTATTGGGTTGCACTCGTGAGAAAAATTGTGTTATGTGTGCATCCAGCGTGTGAAAACACAATGATTTGGGGAATATCTATATTCTTTTAAATATCCAGCTCAATTCTCAATGACTATGGAAAAATGAAAACTTGCAGATTTTATGCATAGCATTGAATAAGAAGATATTTCCCAGTAATTGGAACACGTAAAAACATTTATTTCTGCCCGTTTCAACAGCAGGGTTTTTATTATATTTACTGATATAATCCTGTTCTATAAAATAATTATGCTGTTGATTATTCGCCTCGGAGAAGGACTCCGTGAAATAGCTTATGAAATTCTGAACTCCTACGGACCATACTCCATAACACAGGTCAACAAATATTTTCTGTAAAGGGCCAGATTGCAAATATTTTAATATTTGTGAGCCATACAGTGTCTGCCAAACTACTCAGGTCTGCTCAGTACCTCTCCTGGGACATGGGCAGGCACTCCAGTGAATGTTAGAAAGAAATGAATTCACTCTCTGCAGAACATTTTAGTAGTTTCTCATGAGGTTAAACATATGCTCACTTAAGAAGAGCAATCCCACTCCTAATTACCCAAGTGAAGTGAAAACTTGTGTTCACAGAAAAAATATATGCAAATGTTTATAGGGGCTTTATTTGTAATCAACAAAAACTGGAAACAATCCAAATGTCCAACTAGTGATAGGTAAACAGTGTGACATTCATATAATAAAATACGCTTAGCAATAAAAAGGAATGCACTACAGAACACAGATCAGTGGCCGCCAGGAGCTGGGGGTGGGGTGACTACACAGGGACACAGGGAAATGTTTGGAATGATGAAACTATATTCTGAATGAGGTGGTGGCTACACAATTGTATGTGTTTGTCAAAACTTGGTAAACTGTGCACTAAAAGGGTCAGTATTACTGTTTGTAAATTATGCCTTAAAAATTTTTAAACTACGCAAGAATTTAAAAATAAAATACCATCAAGACTAATCCCTATTTACCTTAGTTACCATCCAAATTCTAATCACCCAGACTCTAATCCCCAGAGAGTTCTGTAAATTCCTGAGTCTGACCCACTTCCCCACACCCCTCTCAGTTGCTCTAAAGCCTTCTACTAAGTGCTTGGAAACTCACTCTCTGTCATCAGCCGAATCCCCTATCTTTAATTTTTTCTCTGAACATCTTCACTTTCCTGCTTTAACTGGAATATTGTTTTCCTCTGAAGATTGCTTCCCCAACAGCCCTCCCTAGAGGTGGACATTTTTCCTACATCCCATGTGTCACTAGACTTAAGGATGAGACAGAGACATTCTCCTTGATCCCTTGCAAGTTGGAGAATATTTCCCCTCTCCTTCAGCAAAAATCCCAGCTCCAAAATGCTCGTGCCAATATAAACATGAGCTTATGCTCCCTCTCCTGCTCTCCCTCTTCTTTACTCTTCCTTCTCCACCCCCCGTAATAACTTTTTCACCACTCTTTAAATTTACAACCACAAATGTGTGGTAGGACCTCAGCCCCTACTTATTTCTCTCACCTAACAATTTCAGACTATTTTCTCTCTCCTCAAACCAACACTCCCCCCACCTGATTCATAGCCAATGATGTCAGTTTTTATTGACTTCACTGAAGAAAAAGACACAATCAGAATAAAATTGCCTCACTCGATCAGCACCAAATCAACTAACCTAATACCATATGTAGCCTTCCCTCCTGTTACAAGAATGAATTGCCAGTGATCCCCTCTAAGGCCAACCCCGTGGATAGCATCTTCTTTCCAAGCACTTTGCTTCTGCAGTTAACTAGTCATCTTCCCAAGTGGTCGGTCCCTTGATCTGTACTCAACTATATCCATGTGCAAAACAAAACAAACTGCTGACGAAACTGTCACTTTAAAAAAAAAAAAAAAAAAGGAAAGAAAAGAAAAGAAAAAAAACCCTTCCTAGACCAATGTTGTCCTTTAGCTATTTCTTTACTAGAAAGAGAGAAACAGAGAGAGCAGAAGAATTGTCTATATTTTCTGTCTCTATTTGCTCATTTGATATCTCCTTAAGCCACATTAATCAGATGTCTATCCCCACATTCCATTCCTCTGAAACCTCTCTTGGCACAATGGGTGACTCTACTTTACCAGGTGCAACAGTCAAATCTCAGACTTTTCAGCAGCATTTGACATTGTAGACCCATGCCTGAGTTTCACAATGTATATTATGGGAATAATACCTACTTAACAGTTATTGTGCATAGTAAATGAATTACAGTATAATCTTTGGAAAATATTCTGATACCATAAGTGTTATTATTGGTCACTTTTCTCCTAACTTCTGGAAACACTATTCTGTCTTCTATACTATCATATTCTCCTGGTGGTCTTACACCTCACTAGCCACTCCTCAGTCATTATCCTTCTTAAGAATCCTAAGTGTGTTGGAGAGCCACAAGTTTAAGTCCTTCTCTCTTCTTTAGCTACGTTCATTCCCTAGGTCAGACCATCCACATCATGGTACCTCAGAAGCATTACAGCATGTTTTCTAAACCTCAATACTATTTGCATTTTGGACCAAATAATTATTTGTTGTGAGGGAATGTTTAGCAGCATGACTGGCTTCTACCAACTAGATGCCAGTAGCACCTTGCTCCAGGTTGTGACAAAGCAAAACCTGCCAGGCATTATTCTAATTGTGTTACACTTATTAACTCATTAATCTTCATAACAACACATTTATTTATTTATTTACTTACTTATTTTAAGATTTTATTTGTCAGAGAGAGGGCGGAGAGAGAGCACACAAGCAGGGGGAGCAGAGGTAGAGGGAGAAGCAGGCTCCCTACGGGGCAAGGAGCCCGACATGGGACTCAATCCCAGGACCCTGGGATCATGACCTGAGCCGAAGGCAGACGCTTAACTGACTGAGCGACCCAGGAGTCCCTACTGTTGTCACTTCTAAACTTTATTTTTTAGGGCAGTTTAGATTCACAGCAAAATTAAGAGCAGGTTACAGAGATTTCCCATATATTCCCTGCTCCTACATATGCACAATCTTCCCCATTATGAACATAACCCACAAGAATGATACATCTGTTACAGTTGATGAACCTATATTGTCACGTCATGATCACACAGAGTCCAATAGGATTCACTCAGTGGTGTATATTCTATGGGTCTGGAAAAATTTATGATGACATGTATCCACCATTATAGTATTATACAGAGTGCTTTCTCTTAAGATTGTATTTATTTGAGAGAGAGACAGAGAGAGCACAAGCAAGGGGAGGGGCAGAGGGAGAGGAAGAGGGACAAAGCAGACTCCCTACTGAGCGGGAAGCAGGAACCTGAGATCATGACCTGAGCAAAGTCAGACACTTAACCGACTGAGCCACCCAGGGGCCCCTATACAGAGTACTTTCACTGCCCTAAAACTCCTCTGTGCTCCACCTGTTCATCCCTCTCCCCATCCAACCTCTGGAGATCACTGATGTTTTTGTCTCCATAGTTTTACCTTTTCTAGAATGTCATATAATTGGAATTATATAGTGTGTAGCCTTTTTAGACTGTCTTCTTTCACTTAGTAATATGCATTTAAGATTCCCCTATGTCTTTTCATGGCTCAGTAGCTCGTTTCTTTGTAATACTGAATAATATTCCATTGTCTGGATGTAGCACAGTCAATTTATCCATTCACTTACTGAAGGACATCTTGGTTGTTTCCAAGTTTGGCAATTATGAAGCTGCTATAACATGTGTGTGCAAGTTTTTGTATGGATATAAGTTTTCAACTCCTTTGGGTAAATAGCTAGCAGTGAGATAGCTGGGTCTTACGGTAAGAGTATGTTTAGCATTTGAGAAACTGTCAAACTGTCTTCCAAAGTGGCTATACCACTTTGCATTCCCACCAGCAATGAATGACTGTTCCTGTTGCTCCACATCTTTACCAGCATTTGGTGTTGTCAGTGTTCTAGATTCTGACCATTCTGTTACGGGTATAGTGGTATCTCATTTTTGTTTTAGTTTACATTTCACTGATAATATACCATATGGAACATCTTTTCTTATGCTCATTTGCCATTTATATATCTTTTCTGAGGTGTCTGTTAAGGCCATTGGCCCATTTCTTAATCAGATTGCTACTGTTGAGTTTTAAGAGTTGTTTGTATACTTTGGATAACAGTCCTTTAACAGATATGTCTTTGGCAAATATTTTCTTGCAACCTATGAGCTTGTCTTTTTATTCTCATGACAGTGTCTTTTACAGAGCAGAAGTTTTTCATTTTAATGAAGTTCAGCTTATCAGTTCTTTCTTTCATAATTCATATCTATGGTGTTATATCTAAAAAGTCATCACCATGGGATGTCTGGGTGGCTCAGTCGATTGAATGTCTGCCTTTGGCTCAGGTCATGATCCCAGGGTCCTGGGATCCAGTCCCATATCCAGCTCCTTGCTCAGCAGGGAATCTGCTTCTTGCTCTGCCTGCTGCTCCCCCTGCTTGTGTTCTCTCTCTGACAAATAAATAAAATCTTTAATAAATAAATAAATAGTCATCACCTGGGACACATTGGTGCCTCAGTCAGTTGAGCGTCTGCCTTTGGCTCAGGTCATGATCCTAGGGTCCTGGGTTTGGGCTCCCTGTTTGGTGGGCAACCTGGTTCTCCCTCTCCCTCTCCCTCTGCTGCTCCCCTTGCTTGTGCTTGCTCTCACTCTCTGTCAAATGAATACATAAAATAAAAAGTCATCACTAAACCAAAAGTCATTTAAATTTTTTTCAATTTTTCTTCTAGGATTTTTAAAGTTTTGTGTTTTACATT